TAGTGACACAATCATGGCTTACTGCAGCCTCAACCTCTTGGGCTCCAAGCAATCCTCTCACCTCAGCTCCCTAAATAGCTGGAACCACAGGCATGCACCACTGTACTCGGCTAATTTCGTACTTATTTTTTGTGGAGATGGGGTCTCCCTATGTTGCCCAGGCTGGTCTCAAACTCCTGGGCTCAAGTGATCCTCCCACCTCAGCCTCCCAAGGTGCTGTGATTTTAGGTGTGAGCCACCAAGCCTGGCCCATATTTTCTCTTTTTCGATTGTGATTTAGTTTATCAGGTGTTTATTGCAAAGGAAAATATATTTCATTTCATAAGTCATCGCTCATGCCCAATCGCTGGTTTTGAAGACATCAAGGAGCAGTTAATAACGGGGAGAACTCCCCAGCCTCCATCCTCCTGCACTCACTCTGTCCCACCAGCAGACACACACCACCCTGCAGAAGCTCAACAGCTGTGGAAAGGAAAGTCCAGGGCTCCAGTGTCCCTGAGGGGGCCTTTTGGGGCTATCTTCTCTGTTATATCTTCGCTGTGTTCATTTTCATTAAGAAGAGAAAGTAAAATAGGTTCACCAGCAAAGATAAAAATCCTCATTTAACCCTGCATTTAGGTCCTCTTTGCTTTTCTCTTGCACTAAGATATCATGAAACTGGCAACCTGAAAATCATATTCTCCTCCTACAGAAAGATTTAGTGAGAAAAGTGAATCAAATGGCATTTAATGTTAAATAAAATCCTGATAATAGGAATTGTTAGTTGACTCAAGAGACATCTTCTAAAAGCAACAAAGAATCACCCCAGCCCAAGGCCTCTTACATCACTCCACCAGAAGCACACTAATAAACTACCATCATAGGGGAATTTCCCAACTTGGGATAGCTTGACTTTTATCACAAATAAAAAATCCATAAAAATAGGCAAGACATCCACAAATACTGATTTAGCACTCACACCCACACTGAGGAGTTTGGAACTAAAATGGGATGATGCATTGATTTGATAGGCAGAAGACTTCTGATTACAAGAATGTGATCAGAGACAGCAAATCCATTTTTTGAAAGAAAGCAGCAATTTCTGTAAAGAAAGTTCTGTCTCTGAAAAGATTAAGAATAGGCCCAGGGAGGCATCAAAGGAAGATATTTCTAGTCAGAGAAAGAATGATTTGATCACCCCAGAAATAGAACACTTGGTGGCAGATCAGAGTTCAAGGGGAGGCTCAGGGGCTGTGCTTTTGGTAACTCCCAGCCTCTACCAATATCACCCCAAATTCAGAGGGCAGGGATTGATATGTCTCATTCATAAGTATATTTCTGGGTTTTCCAACTGCTCATTAAATGAAGACCAGCCAATTTATAACCTCATCCAGGATCTAATTATGACTTTAAATGTCAAACTATCTACAGTTACAAACTGCATTAGAGTTACTCCACTACCAAGAAAAAATTCATATTGCCAAGGAAGACAAAAATAACCCAATTTATTTACCCATTGTGTTTTCTTTAGGTGTTTTTTTTTTTTTTTCTTAAAAAAAATAGGGTCCCACTCTGTTGCCCAGGTTGGAGTGCAGTGGTGCGATCATAGCTCACTGCAGCCTAGAACTCCTGGGAAAAAGCGATCCTCCCACCCCAGTCTCCCAAGTAGCTGGGACTACTTGTGTGTTTTGTATTTGACCTTTCTTAAACACTGTAACATAACTTGTGATAAACATCATTACTACCTAATGTATTGCCACAAGACAAATCTCTGACCTGCCGTTTCCTTCAACAGCAAAATTGCTACTAATAAAATACAATTAGAGATCAAACATAAACTTTATTTTTCATACACATAAAGAATAAGTTCATCTTATTTCCAGCAAGACTAAATTATAGAAACTCTGTACAGATCAAATGTTCCTTCAGAGTTTTTTTGAGGATGAGTTTCAACACTTCTTACTAAAACAAGCATCACTTCTTAACAGAGCAGAGGTGAAAGGACACCCAATTAAAGTGAATGTATACATACATTTCTATCATAAGTACATTTGGCAATAGCTTTATGATGTAATACCTTATTCCTGCTTCTAAAAGAATTGTCAGCTTCCTGACGTTCCATCTATCACTAACTCTTCTACTGGAAACAATTAACATTAGGCCTTATAGTCAAATGTAGCCCCTGGGTAGGTTCAAACATTCAAATGAAATGGGGCAATTAACTACAGAAATCAACTTTCATTGACTGAAGTAAATTCCAAGTTGGGGACATAAACGGACCTAGATATGAAGACATAAAGAACAAGATAAGGCAGGAATTTTGAAAATATAGCCCTTGGTTATTCAATAGTTTCAATTGAATTAATATGAAAAATTATTTTCTTTGGATTGTTTTACCTTTCAAATATTATATCATTCAAAATGTGGGATGGTTCCTGTTTTGTTTCGGTTTGGGTTTTGCTTTTGTTTTGAGATGGAGTCTCGCTCTATCACCGAGACAGGAGTGCAATGGTGCAATATCAGCTCGTTGCAACTTCTGCCTCCTGGGTTCAAGTGATTCTTCTGCCTCAGCCTGCCAAGCAGCTGGAAATACAGGCGCCTACCACCATGTGCAGCTAATTGTTGTATTTTTAATAGAGATGGGGTTTCACCATGTTGGTCAGGCTGATCTTGAACTCCTGACCTCAGGTGATCCACCTGCCTCAGCCTCCCAAAGTGCTGGGATTACAGGCATGAGCCACTATGCCCAGCCAGTTCCTATTTTAATAGGAACCAAAGACAGTGAAGAAAGACCCTAAAGGTCAAACCTGGTGGTAAAATTTCTTTTCTACATGGTAAGAAAAGTCCATATTTTAGGTGTGATTTAAGAGGAAATGTTACATACTTTAAGAAAATACTTTAGTATACTCATTTATGTCACCAAAGGCAATCAAAATATATTTATTAAGCTCCCCTGATATACTCTGCACAAAGTTATTCAAGAATAAAACAGTTCCTTCCCAGAAAGAGCTTATAATCCATTAAAGGAGATAAAACTAACTAAGCGAAATAATAAAGTACTAAATTATCAGATCTTATCAAGGTTGTGGGAATCCAGGCTGCTATGTCAAGCTCATGAGTCGACACATGTAAAATATACCCTTTTATTTGAAATAAGTTTTAGAGGATAAGGAAAGAACTTTTCATAAAACTCAGTTTTGAAGTTGGTCTAAATCACTTTAGTGAAGGAGGAGCAATCACATGACTCAAAAGTAGAAGGAAAAATGTAAAAGCTAAATAAAGTCTGCAAGATATTCCTTTCATAATCGAAGAAAATAAAGGAAAATGTGTTCCTGAGAGAGGTGCTCTGAAAGTGAGCAAGAGCAGGCCGGGGAAATTCTTTCTCTCTGCTTCTCCACCTTCTCCCTCCCTCTTTCTCAAAATAGAGGGTTGACGTTTGAAACTGTTGCCCATTAATCCACCCCAGGGTTTATCTCACTGCTACTTTCTGAGCCAGGCTGGTTCCGCCTTCCACATTGGGACATCTCTGCCTCTTTCCCTCTTAACCTTCCCAGCTGCTTTCCATCTCCCTCCTTTCTCACCCAGAAACCTAAAGGAAAATCATCCTAGCCAATTCTCACACATTCTCTCTCACTCATCACCAATTTTCTCACCACTCGGTGCTTCATTTTGAAACAACTTAAGACCACACAATCAACGAGAAGTCAAAGGCAGACTGATAGGGTTTGATTCTGTGTCTCCACCCACATCTCATGCGGAACTGTCATCCCCACATGGTGAAGGTGGGGCTGGTGGGAGGTGACTGAATTATAGGGATGATTTCTTTTTTTTCTTTTTTGAGAAGGAGTTTCGCTCTTGTTACCCAGGCTGGAGTGCAATGGCGCAATCTCGGCTCACCGCAACCTCCGCCTCCTGGGTTCTGGCAATTCTCCTGCCTCAGTCTCCTGAGTAAGCTGGGATTACAGGCATGCGCCACTGTGCCCAGCTAATTTTTTTGTATTTTTGGTAGAGACGGGGTTTCACCATGTTGACCAGGATGGTCTCAATCTCTTGACCTCGTGATCCACCCGCCTCGGCCTCCCAAAGTGCTGGGATTACAGGCATGAGCCACCGCGCCCGGGCCTATGGGGATGATTTCTAATGGTTTAGCACCATTAGACATGGATAGGTCAATTTCACTGATTAAAAGTAAGAGACTCTTGACCGGGTGCAGTGGCTCATGCCTGTAATCCCAGCACTTTGGGAGGCAGAGGCAGGCAGATCAAGAGGTCAGGAGTTCAAGACCAGCTTGACCAATATGGTGAAACCCCATCTCTACTAAAAATACAAAAATTAGCGGGGCGTGGTGGCACGCACCTGTAATCCCAGCTACTCAGGAGGCTGAGGCAGGAGAGCTGCTTGAACCCATGAGGTGGAGGCTTCACTGAGCTGAGATCACACCACTGCACTCCAGCCTGGGCGACAGAGTGAGATTCTATCTCAAAAAAAAAAAAAAAGTAAGAGACAGCTGAACCCTCATGTTGCCATTCATACAAGTCCTTGTTTCAATGATGATTTCAAATGGTTTAGTGCAGCACCCGAGTGCTGTCTGGTGACAAAGTTCTCACAAGAGATGGTTGTTTAAAAGTGTGTGGCCCTTCCCCCCTCACTCTCTCTCTCCCCTGCCGCCATGGAAGATGTGTTTGCTTCCTCTTTGCCTTCCACCGTGATTGTGAGTTTCCTGAGGCCTCCCCAGCCATGCTTCTGGTTAAGCCAGTGGAAACATGAGTCAGTTAAATCTCTTTTCCTTATGAATTACCCAGTCTAATGTATGTCTTTAGAGCAGTGTAAAAACAGACTACACACAGACCAAGAGAACTCAGCATCCTGAGTGGGTTTCACTGCCAAATGGAAGAAAGCAGGACGTGCCCACCTCATTACGTAATCATAACAAAGCATAAAGAAACAAAAATTGGAGGGCTTAATTCACTGAGTGATGTAGAGCAATAAGAGAAAATCTATTGCTTTTTTAATCCAGGAAATACACAAAGTTGAGAACAGCAGTCTCCTAGGAGAAAATATGAGGCAACTATGACTAAAAGAACTAAGGCTGAAGGCAATTTTTCTCCAAACTGTTATCATCATTTGTGAATTACTTTTTCTCTTTAAGAAAAAAAAGAAAATTAATAAAATGGAAAACATTTCAAATCACAAAAGTTTGTGCTATGGAAGATTTTCAAAATGGTAAGCAATCTATTTAGTTTATGTTTTCCTAATTAGTTCTATTTAACTCTGGTAGAGATTAAACCTTATTAAAATCAGTTCAAAACTCATATTTCAATATTACATTTTACTCTAATATACAAGGAAAAGCAAGATGTGAGGGGAGGGAAGGTCTTTGCCAAGAGCGTGCAATAATGAAGAAAAAAAGAACTTCAAGAATTTCCTACCCCTTCCTGCAAACCACCACTGCCATTCACACTTCCCAGTAAGGTGGTACATGCTGTTCCCTAAACACATTTTCATAGGATCTGACACACACTTCATTCCATCTGTGCTGGTCACTGTCCCATTTACGAGTCAAGAATCTGTTCCCATGGCCCTTCCTCCATAGCACTCTTCCTGAATCCCATGGATGACTCCCTTCTCTGAAATTCTACAGTTCATTCCTCGAATCTAATCATTTTCATACTAAATAATAATTACATTTTAGAAATATATTTTACACTGGGATATTTTTTAAAACAAAGACTATGTATACTGTAACTAGCACAATATCTGACATATAACAGATGCGCATTAAATATATGTTGAATGGGAATTTTTTGACATCACCTATGCTGTGTATAGTCATCAACCAAAACTATTTTATATCATTGAGTAATGCCTCTATATTATTTTTATCCCCTTGAAGGTGTCCTTGTTCATGAGATTGTTGTTCTTATTTTTGTTGTCTTTTTTCTTTTTTAACTTGTTGCTATAGATAGTGAGTTGTTTGAGGATATGCAGTAAAAGAACTCATTAATAAGCGTAAAAGGTGAATCCCAGCCCCTCCTTTGGCTGTCCCTTTGTCTATGTGCCCCTTGTTAGACAGAGGATAGAAACTGCTCATCCCGCATTTCTACCCTCCTCTATTAGCAGAGAGTGAAGCGTGAGGTTTACAGCATGATCCAGCTCCCACATTTCTTCCCACAGAGCAGGTGCTCTTTTCTATTATCATTTTATTGAGTGATTATCAAATGGGATAGAATTGCATGCTGAAATTTTGTGAACTGAATTATTCATAAGAGTGAATTTCAATATACTGAGCATCAACTTGCCATGCCTCAGCTAAGGTTCACAAATATTTTCCTTACAGAGAATTGTTGTCGTAATTTTATTGGGAACAGGGATGTCAAATTGGCAAAGTTCTACTATTAGTAATGGATCTATAAACCACGGAAACAACACTGTACCTGCAATCAACAGACAGGTTTATCTAGCTTGTTTCTTTTCTTTTTAAGGAGAAATCCTCAGATTCCAGTTACAAGATTTACAGCATTTCAATCTCATGCCCTATAAAATCTTATGTTCGGAGGTTAATAAAATGAGATTAATCCAGAGATACTGCATGTTGGGTTCTTCTCTCCCTTCAAGCACAATATACTAAATGAAGTGCAGTCTATACAGAGACTGCAAACCGCTGACTACTCGTGGAGGTTAGCTGCCATCCAGTGGCTGAAAGTATAACTCACCCTTTGACCACTGCTTAAAGAGCTAAGGAAATACAAAACGGATCCATGTCTAATGAGAACATCAAAGGTTATCAATTATTTACACTTACTGTCTTATATTTACAAAGAAGACAGAATGGTGGGAAATTACTGGATGCTTTAACGCATTTTTCACTTGTAACCCATAAGAATCACTTTCAAAAATTTCCAATTTAGAAATTTTCTCTATCTATATCAAATGACCAAATTTAAATAATAAAATAATCATAAGTAATAAAATATATTTTACTTTGTGGAAAATATTGAGGCAAAAACTTTTATCTCAATATCTAAAGAAGAAAAGATATAAATATAGCCGTATAGTAACCCAATATTGATAGTTACATAGTGAATTATTTGAGTTGATTTTGCTCATTTTCTCTCATTTAAAATTTAACATCGTTCTTTTAAGATCCTTAACCACTTTTAAATAATTCTAATACTAGTACTTTTAAATATACTTTATTTTTGTTATAAAAATAATACAGTTGATTGGAACATTAAAAAAATCACCATAATATGAGCACTATTAACATATATTCTTCTACTCAATGAGAAATATTCTAGCTCCCATTTTCTTAATAAAATACACACATGCATAAGTATATATGTGTGTGTATATATATATATATGTATATATACACACACATCTTTATTTTTAGATTAAAATGTATCATGTACCCCTTCTCATATTATTGAACATTCTTCAAAATATGAACTAACAATTGTATACCATATAGACTATGTAGGCCTTGATTTATTTAGCCAACTTTTTTTTTTAACCTTTAGATTGGTTCCAACTTTTTACTATTATAAATAACAGTATAATGAATATCTCTGCATACAAATCTTTAGTATAAATCTCTACTTCTTAATTTCAATAAATTATTATAAAATTCCTCTCTCAAAAATTACACTCTTTGGTTTCCATGAGAAATTTAATGTAATGTTGTTCATCTTTACCTATACGATAGATGCGAAGTGGAAAGTCGCTATCTTCTTGCAAGTTTAATTTGCAAGTCTTGGACAGCAGTGAAGCTCAGCATGTTAAAAATATTTATTGGGCATTTGTGCTTTGCTTTGTTTTTTATTTTTGTAAATTGCCTGTTCATGTCCCTTCCTATTTTTCTTCTGATAATTTTCTTTGTATTGATTTTATTTTTAAGACTGGATAAAGATACAGCACACATCCAGAAAAAGGAATAGCCACTTCAATATTACTCTCATATATAGTAGAATTGAAAAAGCCACTAAAGATTTGGACCAAGATGACCATTTGATTTCTATAAAAAGTATAATCCACTATGAATAGATGATAGCCATGTGCCAAAAACCAATATTAAAATAAAATAAGCAAAATCTGTTAGAATTACAGGTAAAATTAATAGAAAAACTATAGTTAAAGGATGTCCTAATAGAATGTTTTAGTATGAATATATTAAACTTTATACTCTCCCCAAAATTGCAGTGCCATAGATAGCTAACAAAATTAATCATTTATTAGAACACACAAAACCTTAATGCATTTTAAAGAGAAGTCACAAGCTCCTACAATGTTATGTCAGAAATTAATCATAATCATGAAGGAATTTTATGTTTCTCAATGGCTTTTTCTTTTTCTTTTTTTTTTTTTTTTTGAGATGGAGTCTTGCTGTCACCCAGGATGGAGTGCAGTGGCACAATCTCAGCTCACTGAGCAGAGGCAACCTCTGCCTCCCAGGTTCAAACAATTCTCCTGCCTCAACCTCCCACATAACTAGAATTACAGGCATGTGCCACCACGCCCAGCTAATGTCTGTATTTTTAGTAGAGACGGGTTTTACCATGTTAGCCAGGCTGGGCTCAAACTCCTGACCTCCAGTGGTAGGCCCACCTCGGCCTCCCAAAAGTGCTGGATTACAAGTGTGAGCCTCTGCACCCAGTGCTCAACGGCTTTTAAATTTAGAAAGAGTTCTTTGAGTCCTCACAGAACTCAAAACTGCAAATACAGACTATTTTGAATATGATGAATCCCACTGAAGATTCAAGAAGACTGACAGAAAGAGGGAAGAGGCAGACAAGTGTGGATTCAGTCTCAGTGTTGGAGAATGCCAGGTGGTGAAGGTCGAGGAGAGGTGCCCTTCATCAGGCCAAGTCGGCCAAACCAGCCCCAAGTCAGAACCAGGCTCCACACCCTCATGCCATGAGTGTGGGTCCCTTTTTGGACCAGGCCAGCACCCAGGACAGTGGGTCCTTGAGAAAAGGGGTGGGGCCACCAAGGTGGGAACCAAGGCAGAGAAAACGTTGGGACCTGGAGGTACTTTCACCCCCATGGGTCTCCCGCTTCATTCCTTACCCCAGATCCTTTTCCTGGAATTCTTTGTGAGTTCTATCAAGATTCCTCTGCTGGGTGTGGTGGCTCACACCTGTAAAGCATTTTGGGAGGCTGAGGCAGGCAAATCACCTGAGGCCAGGAGTTCGAGACCAGCCTAACATGATGAAACCCGGTCTCTACTAAAAATACAAAATCAGCTGAGCATGGTGGCACATGCCTGTAATCCTCCTGGAGGTTGAAGCAACAGATTCGCTTCAACCTGGGAGGTGGAGGTTGCTGTGTGCCAAGATCGCACCATTGCAGTCCAGCCTGGGCAACAAGAGCGAAATTCTGTCTCCAAAAAAAAAAGATTCCTCATGACCGAGTCCAGGAAAAGCATTTCCAGAACTGGACTCACTCCCAGCTACAGTCAAAATGCAAAGACAAAAGTAGAAAAGGAGTGTTCTACTTCCCTACAGTTTGAGGGAGCCCTTTTTTTTATTATTATACTTTAAGTTCTGGGGTCCATGTGCAGATAGTGCAGGATTGTTACATAGGTGCATACATGCCATGGTGGTTTGCTGCCTCCATCCCCCTGTCACCCACATTAGGTATTTCTCCCCATGTTATCCCTTCCCAATCTCCCCACCCCCTGCTATCCCTCCCCTAGGCCCCCTCTCCCCAAAAGGCCCCAGTGTGTGATGTTCCCCTCCCTGTATCCATGTGTTCTCATTGTTCAACTCTTAAAAAACATACAAATCTTTCGTTTTTAATTTAGCTTGCTGCAGAAGTTCTTTCAATCCCAGAAGACTTTAAAAAATTGTTGAGTTCAGGTTACTCTGGTGGAGCAAATGCAAGAAGCAAGGCAAGGAGAAACGAAGTGGACGCTACTGTGATACAGTGAATGTGAGGAGGTGCACAGATGAGTGAGCCCCAACACTAGAGGGGTGAACACCTAGGCACTGATGGGCTGACATCATCTTGCTGAGGTATGAATGAAATCAGCATCCCTTTTTCAGAATTCCTACTTTCTGAGTTGGCAAACTATGGCTCATGTGCAAAATCTGGCCCATTGTCTATTTTTGTAAGCAAAATGTGATTGGAACACAGCTGTGTTTATTCATTTCTGTATTGCTCATGGCTGCGATCATGCTACAGTGGCAGACCTGAGCAGTTAGAAATGAGAGCTGAGTAGTCAGTCATATTTATTTATCTGGTCCTGTACAGAAAAATTCGCTGGCCTCTGGTCTAAACCAACGTGACACACAACTTGGCTGTGCCTCTCTCTTTACATCAGCATAGGGGAAGCCCTGCCAGACCCTGGCCAAGGCAGAGCCCCACTCCATGCTCACCTCCCTGGGAGGCCCTCAGCATTCTCCTCCCACTCCTGCCCCCTCCCCGTGGCTACACCACACACACACCGTGCCTCACTTCCTCGTCCACACAGCCTCATGCTCGGCACATAGGTGCCCACATGTGCCCACTTCCATGAGGCCATCTTTTTGGTACCGAGTACTATAAGATGGGGTTGGGCTTAGTTCCACAAGGCGGGAGAAGAACTGGAAATAGGCTGAAAGCTTCCTATCATCCCCCTACCTTCTTCTATATCCTGAAAGCCTCTGAAATCTCCACGCTTTCCCCACCCTCCACGGAAGGAAATAAATTGGAATGAGTTTCCCCAGGCCCAGTTCTGCTGTGGGCAGATTTCTTTGAGTTAGGAAAGGCAGGTGAGGAAGAAGTTTTTTGCTGAGTAAGTTTTTCTATACCTCCCTCCCTTGGCCATTTTCCAGTTCTTTCCTGTATATATTTAATAGTATAAAAATCACCTTTCTAAAATAAGAGACCATTACTATACCCATTTTCTAGATGAGGAAACTGAGAGTGAGAAAGGCAAAGTAGGTTGCCAGCATGTATAATTTTTAACAAAAGTGAGTGTTTCTATTCCCATTTTCCAGGTAGGGAAATCAAGAGATAGAAAGGTAAAGTGTAATCCCAGCACTTTGGGAGGCCAGGGCAGGTGGATCGCCTGAGGTCAGGAGTTCAAGACCAGACTGACCAACATGGCAAAACCCCATCTCTACTAAAAATACAAAAATTCGCCAGGTGTGGTGGTGTACGCCTGTAGTCCCAGCTACTTGGGAGGCTGAGGTGGGAGAATCACTTAAACCCAGGAGACAGAGGTGGCAGTGAGCCGAGATCATGGCACTACACTCCAGCCTGGGTGACAGATTGAGACTCCATCTCAAAAAAAGAAAGAAGATAAAGTGACTTGTCCAAAGCCCACAGACAAAATGATCCCATCTTCACTACATAGCATTATGAGCCCCTCAGTGAGATCCCTCCCCCATTCCTCCTACTAATCCTTGACACTCAACTCCCTCCCAACCTGACCCAAACCTTCCTCCTCCAAGATGTCTTCCTTGATTGATACTCTCTCCTGACCCGGGTACTCCTCCACATAGAACTCAATCCTTAGTGCTTCTATTATTTGTTTATATCATTTTAATTGTGTCTGTGCTTTGCTTTCGATGCAAAGCAGGTGCCATTGCATATATATACTTTTTGAGGTTTTTCTTTATTAGTGGCTTTATTGAAGTATAATTGATATACCAAAAAAACTGCACATATTTAACATATACAATTTCATGAGTTTGGATATATGCATAGACCCATGAAACCGTCACCACAATCACCTCCAAAAGCTTCCTCCTGCTTCTTTGTGGTTTCTGGTTTTGTTCTTATGTTTTCTGTGTATGGTAAGAACCCTGAACATGATTGATAAGCACCTGAATTGTTGTATGTAAATTGAGTTTTTTTAACCAAATAAGATTTTTATTTATATGCCATAATGCAAGTTTTTCACAGGAAACCAAGGTGACTCTAAGAAATAATGAAAATCATGTTTTGATACCTTAGAAAATAATACATTTCTCATAAAATATTCAATATCCTGCAATTTTAGCATTATAGAATGCATCTGTGTTTTCTAAAGGTTCTTTTTGGATTGCCAGGAACCAAAAAACACTCTCATAAAACCCAGATGTTGAAGAGAAACTGAACCAGACACTTGCTAAAACATTTTATTCAAGCTACTGCAGTAGAGAAGACAGACTTCAGTACTGAGCTTAACTCCAAATATGGCAAGAGCAGCTGGAGATTTTCAGCCAATGGGCAGGTGTCCGTAGATGGAAAATTACCAGGAGGAATTTGACGAGATATTAAGTGCAGTGGCAAAGAAGAATTTGATGAGATATCAAGGGGATGGAAGGGACTCTCCCTAAACTGGCTTAGCAACATTCCTGCTAAAACTGGGCTTGGCAGGCCAAGGACAGGCCCAAGAACCCAGCTAGTCAAAAAGAGGGCTCAGAGGGGCCTGGGTAAAGTTTGGTCTGCAAAGGAGTCCTTGTCACTGGTAATGGGAGTTAAGGCACACAAGCAAAGACAACGGTCCCGGCAGCTGCTCAGCCAGCCTCACAGGTAAGTGCCTCATCCACCACACCCCACAGCAGGGGTGCTTCCACCACGGCGGCCCCGCCCCAAGAGCAGGGAGCACCACCCTGCCCACGTGCTCCGCCATTTTCAGGCCCAGCCACTGTCTCCCTCTCCCTGTGTTTCCGCTGTTCCTGTCACTACTTGGATGATCTGCTAGAGCTCCTGCTTGGTGTGAAACTAAGTAACAATCATAGAAAGCCATATTTATTCATGTTTCTGGCCAAAATAATTTCACAAAGCCCCTGACTCTGAGATGACATACAGCTCTCCAAAAACATAAAGACAAAGAAAAGCATATGGCCCCCCACGCCTCTTACCTAAATCATTACATTCCTTAAAAAACAAATTACCTAGGCTGGACGCAGTAGCTCACACCTGTAATCCCAGCACTCTGGGAGCACTTTGGGAACTCCAGATCCCAAGGTCAGGAGTTCAAGCCCAGCCTGGCCAACATGGTGAAACCCCATCTCTACTAAAAAGACAAAAATTAGCTAGGCATGGTGGCAGGCACCTGTAATCCCAGCTCCTCGGGAGGCTGAGACAAGAATCACTTGAACCCAGGAGGCAGAAGTTGCAGTGAGCTGAGATCACGCCATTGCACTACAGCCTGGGTGACAGAGCAAGACTCTCTCAAAATACATAAATAAATAAATGACTTAGTCTTGTTTTTTCCTTTGCATAAGATAATGCCTGATGGGATTACTAATTATACTTCCATAATCTATAACCAGATATACTCTTATACCCAAACATTAATAAAATTACTCTCCCTGACCCCTCCCCCACAGTGGCACTATCATAGCTCACGGCAGTCTTGAACTCCTGGACTCAAAAGATCCTCCGGCCTCAGCCTCCTAAGCAGATGGCATATGCCATCATGCCCAGCCAATTTTTAGTTTTTTTGTAGAGATGTGATCTCTATCCTCCTATCCTCCTATCCTCAAGTAATCCTAATACCTCAGCCTCCCTGTACTGGGATTACAGGCACACACCCCTGTACCCGACCTCAAACTTTAATTCTGCTTCAATATAACTTCTAAACAAGTCTAATATAATTTTACATGTACTGATCTCTGCCCACCTATATATATAAGCAGTAGGCTAAAATACTGTCCACAGGAGTCTCACAGGTCTGTTCCTGAGCTATGGGCCTTGACCTACAGTGCTCAGTAAAACTTTTAAATAAGACTAATTTTAATTCTTTAAAAACTTGATTTTTTAAAATTTAGTTGACAATCATGGCACTCCAGATGGGACTCAGAGCAGACAGCCCATAGTCACCTAGACCGTTGCAGGGACTGAGCACCTTAGTACCAACATGGGCCATCCGGATCTCAGGCTCCTCCATGGTTGCAAGTGACTGGGTGAGTCTCTCCAGAGTCTCAGACCTCCCACTTGGTTGATGGTTTTGGAATCAACTCCCAGTGACTGGGTAAATGGAAAGGAGGTTGTTGGAATCATACTACAGAGGTGCACGGGACAGAGAGGAGGGTCAGGCTCAGAAACTAGATGGGAAAAAAGAGAGGCTAGAGGCAGAGAGATCGCCCAAGGTCGCACTGGGGGACATGGACTCCAGTTGAGCTTGACTCTCAGCCTTGCCTCAGTGGTCATCAAAATCGGGCTGTAAGTAGTCTTGACCTTAGATCACTCCCTCCTGATTCCAAGTCAGGATCACTCCCTCCTGATTCCCCAGATCAGGGGACAGCAGTGAAGGCCCTGAACCATGGCAGTGGCCATAGGATTAGAGATGACACAGAACTGACAGAACCTGGTGGCTGAGCAGAAGTTGGGGATACAGAGATCTGAGGGCAATGCCAAGGTGTGTTCAAAGATATATACAACATCTGAAGTAGGATCGCGAATGAGAAGAGAAAACAGTGTCAATACTGTGAACTAAACAGATAAATGCCTTTGGGTCCAAGCCCCTTTCTCATTTCTCATCCCAAATCTCCTCTCTGTTCTCCCCTTTGTACCAGATAGTAATACTTAAATGTCCAAAACATACCATGTGGCTCCCAATAGTGTGTTCTGTGAAAAATCCCTCCACCTTGTCCACTGGAGACGGTCCTGTTCTTTGTTTCCAACTTGGTTAGTACTCCTTCACGGCGCTTCACCTGATGTCAGTCCCTACACACCATCATCACAGCCTTCCATTTTGCACACGGCACCCTAGAGGGTCAACAGGTGTTTCTATAACTCACTCCCATTCTACCAGAATGGGCCCCTCAAGTGTTTATTATTGAGAGGATATTCATGATATTTTTTAACCTATACATTAATAAAAATTGATATGTAAGTCAACAAAATCCTTTTTTTAATGTCTTCCCTTTTATTCTCTAAATAAACTGAATGTGATTGATAAGCACCTGAATTATTGTATGTAAATTGAGTTTTTTGAAATAGAATGAGATTTTTATTTACATGTCATAACGCAAGTTTTTCACAGGAAATAAATGTGACTCTAAGGAATAATGAAAAACCATGTTTTTCATACCTT